GAAAATGTCCAAATGTTTTAAATTTATTTTAAAAATATTCTAAAAATGTTTTCAAATTATTTTATAAATGCATTCAAATTATTTTATAAATGATTTCAAATTAAATCATATAAAAATGTTTTCAAAATTATTTCAAAATGTTGTCAAATTGTTTTCAAAATATTTTGAAAATGTTGTCAAATTGTTTTGAAAATGTGTTCAAAATGTTTTGAAAATGTTTTCAAAATGTTGTCAAATTGTTTTGAAAATATTGTCGAAATGTTGAAATGTTTTGAAAATATTGTCAAAATATTGTTAAAATGTTCTGAAAATGTTGTTAAAATGCTCTGAAAATATTGTCAGAATGTTTTCAAATGTTTTCAAAATTATTTTAAAATGTTTCGCAAATGTTTTGGATATATTGTCAAAATGTTTTGAAAATGTTTCGAAAATGTTGTCAAATTCTTTTGAAATCGTTTTCAAAATGTTTTCAAAATGTTTACAAAATGTTTTCAAAATGTCTTCAAAATGTCTTCAAAATGTTTTCAAATTGTTTTAAAAATGTTTTCAAATTGTTTTTACGATGTTTTCAAATTGTTTTAAAAATGTTTTGAAAATGTTAAAATATTTTCAAAATATTGTCAAATTGTTTTCAAAATTTTTTCAAAATGTTTTCAAAATGCTTTGAAAATGTATTCAAAATCATTTCAAAATGTTGTCAAATTGTTTTAAAAATGTTTGGAAATTGTTTTGTAAACGTTTTAAAAATGTTTTCAAATTGTTTTGAAATTATTTTGCAAATGTTAGATGTCTTGAAAATGTTTATACAAGTCTTGCAAATGTTGTCCAAATGTTTCGAAAATGTTTTGAAAATGTCAAATTGTTTTAAAAATGTTATCACAAGTCTTGAAAATGTTGTCAGACGTTTTGAAAACGTTGTCAGACCTTTGAAAATATCCATGTATGTCAAATGTCTTGAAAATGTTGTCACAAATCTTAAAAAAATGTAGCCACAAGTCTTGAAAATGTAGCCACAAGTCTTGAAAATGTAGTCACAAGTCTTGAAAATGTTGTCAAATGTCTGAAAATGCTTTAAAAATGTCAAATGTTTGATCATGTTGCCAGATGTCTTGAAAATGTTGTCTAATGCCTTAAAAATATTGGCAAATGTTTCGAATATGTCGTCAGATGCCTTAAAAATGTTGAAAATGTAGTCAGATGTTTTGAAAATATTGCAAATCGTAGGAAAATGTAGTCACAAGTCTTGAAAATATTGAAAATAGTCTAAAAATGTTATAAATTTTTCAAAAAATAAATTTCTATCCATTTCCACATTACAAAATTTCACTTCTTCTACGCGTAGAAACACCACGCACTATTTACGTTTTTTTTTTCTTCGTTTTTTAAAATATTTTTTTTAACGAGTTGGTTGAGATCATGTATATATTTATAGATTCAATAAATATAAACATACATACACACATAGATGAATCGACATAACAATCCATCTATGTATATATGTATATAATTATATTTTTCTGTATAGGCAAAACTTTGGTCATAGTCTTCGTTAGAACAACATCTCAATTAAGAGAATTAGTTTCCTTTGATCGATTTGTTACATCGATCAATTTGTCTTCTCGGTACTTAAAAATAATTTCATAAACATCATTGGAAATCTTAAGTTCAGTACTACGTATATTCATTTTTAAAACTAAGCCTCGGTATATATATTCACAACATTTAAATAGATTTTTTTCAAAGACTTACAACAATATAGAGTATATATGTATAAAATAATTAGTTAATAATCTTCATCGAACGTTTATGTTGGTGTTTTTTTTTAGTTTTAATTAAAACACCAGGACGAAAGAGGAGGATTTATATATATATATATGTATATATAAATTTCTAGACTATCCTTAAATTCAACATCGAGATAGACATTATTATTGAAGACACATAGATTACATAAAAAAAATATTTTCAACTACCGACTAGTTATATATATAGTTTTAAAATCCTTTTGCCTCACGTCAAGCACAAAAAAACAAGTATTTGCACTTCATCGTGCTCCGATAGAATAATCGATAAACGATTATCGCTCTAACAACTAGGAATTGAAATAGTATTAATATCTAATTTTATACGTCTAGGTTTAGAAAATTGACAACCATACATTTTTAGGCTTTTTTAGAAAATCAATTAATTTCAATCTCACGATATTCATATAATATAAATTTACACTTATAAATCTATTGTGCGATTGTACAATCCTTTCGCCATTATTAAAATAACTATTATTATTATTTTACAGAAAAATATAAGAATCAAATTTTATTGCTATATGTAGTTGATATAGAGTTTGTTACAAAACTATATTTACAAGTCTTTATTTTAAATTTGTGTGCATATTTTTTTCTTAACCTTAAATTTTTTTAAATCGTGCTTGATATGAGGCACATTTATAATATAATTCATTATTGGATTTTAAGTACTTACTACTTTAGGTCTTAAAACCTAATTCAAGTAAACTTTACAATTTATAGGTTATAATTTTAACTTACATATTTTTTGCAAAATACTCTCACTAATTTCGTCATGTCATCATTTTGGTTATTAATATTTCATAGACTGTGGCTACTGGCATTAGTTTTGTACACTTATTATAGATTTTTCAATTAATTTACACATTTTTTTTTTGAAAAATCACTTTGTGAACATAAACACTTTTGACATTTTTCCTTATTTATGATTTTGACGTTCTTCGCGGACGCCATTTTGACAGCTGTCAAAGTCATTGATTATACAAATTCAGGATTGTGTCATTGAATAGTTAAACTGGGAACGGACTTTTTGGCATATTACTGTTGATTATTATTTTAATATAAATAGACGTTGCAATAAGTTTTTTTTTTCACATTTATAATGATATATAAGTTATTTTTTGTATCGTATTAAAGTTTAAAGCAATTTCTACTACTTTTTTTATTATATTATATATATTTTTATATTAATTTTTGATGATAATTTTGCTTTATGAATTTCTCGATCCATTAAAAAACAGTTAAAACTACTTTGAAATAAACTAGTAGTAAATTTTGAAAAAAGTACGGTTTTGGTTGTATAAATTTATACTAAGAATGAGCAACCTTTTTAACTCAAAAAGTACATTTAATTTCCAATAATCATAATTGAATATTTTCGCATATCATTACGTTTCAAAGCTAGAAAAAATGAATGTGTGTGTTTGTAACAGTATGTATGGATACAAATTTTCGTTCACGTTTCTGGGAACACGGATCAACCGATTTGAATTATTCAAATAATATCCGTTATGATTTTTTTTACAAAATTTGACGAAATTTTACGAAATTTTTGCATAAATATACGTTTCAAAGCTAGAAAAATTAAATGTGTGTATGTATGATGGATACAATTTTACGTCCACGTTTTTTGGGAGCCCCAATAAGAGAAGAATGCATTATAATTATTGATTTAAAAAAATTGCTCATCCTTGGTCTATTTTATTCGGCGCTTCAATACGAACTGAATCATCATATATAAAAAAAAATATTGCACACGTCTGATTTATATCCTTCTCGTCCATTTCATATTTTGACATCCTTATGCAAAATCAATGATTAGACAAAATAGAAATGCATTCTTGGAAATGTAAAACATATTGTTTTGGACTAATTTTGTTATCAAAAATGCATTTTTAGCCAAACCAAAGTTCGAGGCCAATTCTCCGATGAGATAGAAATGTTAAGGCGAAGTTATGTTTCGGCACGTGGTAGTAAAAACTGTCAAATTTACAACTTTATCTTTGTAGTGTCTAATTGATAACACATACGTGAAGTTAGGTTCTATGATCGCACAGCAAATACATAGCTTTTTTGGGCAGTTTTTACTACCGCAAGCCATAACATACCGTTGCCATTTGTTATCGGAGACTTTTAGGGCAATTCTAGTAAAATAGCGTTGTCATGACAACGGAGAAACTGTCTAACTTTTTTAAACATATAAACCAAGGAATAATCTTATGATAACTGCATCATCTAAATTTCTGTTATTTTAAGATTATTCCTTGCTTGTTTATATGTAAAATAAGCCTGATTTCATAATTTCCAATACAAAGAACAAGAATAAGAAAAACGTTGCCATGACAACGCGCTGTTACGATAGAATTGCCCCGTTAGTCCTTAAGGAACACAACTAGTGTGAAATTTTCAAAAAATCGAATTTTCAATTTTTTCATATTTCCATAGGTTATACCTTTCAAAATAACATACCAAAATTTTAAATCGATATCTTAAATAATTTTTGAGTTACAGCCATTTAAAGAGTATATATATATAGTGCATAGTATAACGATTTAACCTTTAAATGGGTTTTTTTCGAAACGGCATTTCCCGAATTTGCTGCAGCGATTACTCAAAAACAAATGATCTGATCACTATTAAATTTTTTTTACATGTTCTATATATAGTTCTCCGTAAAATAAACTATCGATTTTTGGATCGGATCAAAAATCGAATTTTGGCAGTCCAAAAAAACGACCTAAATTTTGGGTAAAATTCGATTTTTTTTAAAAAAAACGCCGTCATTTTGTCAATTTTTGAATTTTTAGGTCATTTTACAGACAATATTATCTAGTTTAACAAGATTTTTTTTTTTAATTTCATCCACGTAGAAGGCCGGAATCACTACAGCAGTGAAGGGTCTTTGGAGATCGACGATAACTTAAAAAATATTTAATTGTTTTCTTCATAAATTTTACTATGTATTTTTAAAACATGTATAAATATATTCTTAAAATTTATAAAAAATTGAAATGATTGATGAAGTAGTTTTTTTAATATAAATTCCCAAAAATCACCTTTTTTTAGGCGTTTACACTAGTTGTGCCCCTTAATATAACGTATACTCGAAGCATTATGTACTGGCATCATACCGCGATACATATTTGCAATATCTTCACTGCCTTTTCAATATACATTTTATACTTAAATCCACAGTCTATGTATTTCTCGTCGTTTCAAGAGATCATAATCATAGTCCTTTACCTTAAGCACGATTAAATAAATATGTCTTTGATTATAATTTTATACACATAATGCCACTATTCGATAGATAACTAATACAAATGGCAGGCAAATAATATATGACCACTTATTATTTTGTTCACACACGGTCAATTACTAATACTTTTTAGTTTGCACTTCGTGCACATGAATACCGTGTTTTGCTCGTGTAAATTTGTACCGTTAATGCAACTATTATATTTATCCGTTGCACTTAAGTCAGGTGCATTTTACGTAAAGGTTAACCAAAAATAAGGCAGATCGATACCCGATAAGTCTTGTTCGTGTAAAATACTGATTTCTTAGCATCGATCTATTCCTAAACTTAAAAGTTCTACGATTTTCAGTCACCAAATCTGCTGCAGGCCTTTTTCCATTTGCACTGGGTGCACCACTGGTCTCGGTGCTCCATGCCGTACACTTTGCGGCACTTTTTGTTCTCGCCTCGCGTTCTGCGAGAGGGGCTCAGTGGCGCGCCGTGGGAGTACCGGGAAGGGGCGCTATGAGATAGGGCGGTGACGGCCCCCTGGTGAGACGGGAAGGCATTGACGATGATGTTGGTGTTGGTGTTGGAGGACTGGAGGATCGGGTAGGGCGCGTATGATGTTGATGGTCTCGGCGAAAGGCGCACGTGTTTCTGGGGGGGTGTCGAATTCTAGAAAAAAAAAAAAAAAATTATACAAAAACCATCTTTTAACTCCCAAGAACTATTTTATTTTCTAGAGACTACTTTGAGTGATATCCCCAAACTTAGAGCAAATGTGCTTTACCATGTTTTAGTGTTTTCCGCAGTCAACAGATGGCCTTCTGTGTCTGAATTCTTAACATGTTTTAAGGTATCGCTACTCTAAGTAGTTAAAAATGTTATATTTTATACGCGCATATTTTGTTCCAATTTGATTGATAAAATTAAAAAAAAGAAACTCTACTGACGAGCAAACTGAAATTAAAAATAAAAAATGGAAAGGGGCTCTACTAACGTGCAAACTAAAATAAAAGGCTTGAAATGAAAAAAAGGACTCTATTGACGAGCAAACGCATATATAATAATTAATATAGAAAAAAAGAACTCTACTGACGAACAAATTGATATTAAAGACAAAAATGGGAAAAATGACTCTACTGACGAGCAAACTGTAATAAAAATATGAAATGAAAAAGGAACTCTACTGCCAAGCAAACTGAAATTAAGTACAAAAAATGAAAAAGGACTCTACTGACACGCAAACTGAAAAATATAAAGCAAAAAAGGACTCTACTGACGAGCAAATTGAAATTAAGCACAAAAATTAAGACCAGAAATGATAAAAGGACTCTACTGACGAGCCAACTGAAACATACAAAATAAAAAAGGACTTTACTGACGAGCAAACTGAAATTAAGTACAAAAAATGGGAAAAAAACTCTACTGACGAGCAAACTGAAAAATATGAAACAAAAAAAATTTACTGACGGACAAACTGAAATTAAGCACAAGAAATAGACAAAAGACTCTACTGATAAGCAAATTGAAATTATAAGTACCAAAAATTAAGTATAAGAAATGATAAAAGAACTCTACTGACGAGCAAATTAAAATTTATGAAACAAAAAAAGACTCTACTGATAAGCAAATTGAAATTAAGTACAAGAAATTAAGACTAGAAATGATAAAAGAACTCTACTGACGTGCAAACTGAAATATACGAAACAAAAAGGGACTCTACTAACGAAATTAGGTACAAGAAATGGTAAAAGTACTCTACTGACGACCAAACCAAAATGAAAATGAAATGAAAAATGAGACTCAACTGACGAGCAAATTCAAATATGTATACGAAATAAAATGGACTCTACTGACGTACAAACTGAAATCAAAGACAAGATATGGAAAAAGAACTCTACTGACGAGCAAACTGAAACATACGAAACAAAAAGGGACTCTACTGACGAGCAAACTAAAATAAAAGACATGTAATTAAAAATGGACTCTACTGACGAGCCAACTGTAATAAAGATAGAAAATGAAAAAATGACTCTGCTGGTAAGCGAACTACAATTCATGACATATAAAAAGAACTCTACTGATGAGCAACATTTAAGAAAATGAGAAAAAAGTATCTACTGTATATATGTATAATAAGTCTTATGTAGAATTAAACCTAAGGGTAAATTTACATGCTACAGTTAGTGGCGATCCTATCGAAAGTGGAAACAAATAAAATTGATGTAATGCTAATGTTATCTATGACTTCAATTCCAAAAAAATTCGGAAGAAAATTACTAAAGTTTTTCATCAGTTTCTCATGATAAATCTATTTCAAATGTTTATTGTGTTAGTTATATCTGCATATTGAATAATACGTCCTTGTAGCCGAGGGAAAAATAATATTCTTAATACTCCATATACGGTATAACTGCATTTATGGTCTCCCAGTACAAAAGTGAGCGGATAATAAATCAGGAGAAACGACTCTAGCTAAATAGTACAACAGCTAGTCGAAAAATTTACTATCGAATCATCAGCCAATATGATGAAATATAGAATACTAGCAAACCCGACGAACTCCGTTTCGCACCAGATGGTTTCGTGAGAAAGATGAAGAAATTTTTTGTTTGTTTTATATTTGAAAAGGAAAAATTTGATTTTATCACACAACAGTGATGAATTTATTTCGATTTGAAAAATTAAGTGTTTTTTAGTTGAACTTCTCTAAGTGAATGAAAGTGAATCCGCAAATTATCCGTTTCATTGAAGTGCTCTTTGGTAAACCACATTTTTTGTTTTTTGGTCTGACGTTAACACAAGCAAAGCGGATGGTTTTCCAACTCGTGAACAGGCAACGTATAACTGCCCATGTGAAAAACAATGATTTTCTAAATAATCTATTTGAAATTTATCCCGCAAACACTAAGCGATTGGCCTTGAGACTTGTTATTGCGAACGCAAGGCGAACTGGAAATTACAATTGTTTGAAGTCAAACGGAAGATCAGTCAGAATCATTGATATGTCACCAAATCGCCAGCAATTTTTGATTGAATAGTGAAATTCAGTGCGTGTACATCATATTTCTTGGCGGCAAGAATGGCTCGTTGACTTAACCAAGCATAATTCTGATAATTCTAACTAATTTCATTACTCGAATTTTTAATTACGGTGCGTGAAGTTCGTCCAGCAGCTTGCAATAAGGCACGATGCCATGCACCACTAATTTTCTTAGCTATAAACCCAACGAATGGAAAATTGTCGAAATCGGTTCGTGCGTTCTGGAGTTATTTCGTCAGGAAGGAAAACCCGACTTATTTTTATATATATCTAGATAAAGTACACTCACAAATTTAGGTACCAATTCTGCCGCATAATAAAAAAATGTAATGGCAAGGTCACGTTATGAAGAACTTTCCATACTGAATATTGACAAAAGCCATGCGGTTGCTGTGCAGTCAGGCGTATTTCAGATAAAACATCTAAATTAGAAACCGCACAAATGTCAACAGATAACAGGGTGTTTCTGACCCAGCTTCTTAACATACGAGTGACGTTGCAGTTTATGTTTAAAACGCCAGAATGCGCAGCAAATACATGGACATCTTGACAGTATTCATTATGATTCAGTAGCATAATGTATGCAAGTTGCGGACTTCAACATGGCCTTGCCATAACATTGGTCTGTTATGCAGTCGGTCGTCCCTTTATTTTTTAACATTTTTGAATAACTATTTCCCCCAACTGTCAATTTACCAAGTGAAAGCCCAACTCAAACGAAAAGCCATCGGTTCCGTTGTTGTGTCATGTTGTGTTTGTGTCGAACTCGCACACATTCATTCGAATTCACATTCACATTTACAAACATTCAACATTCGCATTCGAATTCGTTCTACGTTCACTTTTACTCTATAGATAATAATCTAGTCTTATAGCATAATAAGCACTCTACGTCAGGTGCAAAAAGTATGCAAAATGAGAAATCGTTTTCGTATTTATGAGAATTGTGGTCGATTGAATGCTGACTCATTTATATATATATATATATATATATATATATATATATATATTTATTTATACTAGATGACCCGGCAAACGTTGTCCTGTACCCATGTCTACATTTTTTTTTATATAATATACTAATATATACCGTTTACCTAAAAATAATAATTAAATTACTCTTCACTCCAAAATTGCATATACATTTATAATATGAGCGATGTTAAATGTAGAACTGCTCTAAATAAAATGATGAGTCTCAATTTTCACACTATATTGGAAATTGAAGTCTCTTAAACGGTATAACATAACCATAACATAACACTGGTACTTCATGTTGGATTATATTAATTAAATTTTTTATTATCCAAGATATCCAAAATTACATCTTAAACTTCTTCTAATCCATATCGTGAGGGCCGCATTGTATGTATTCATCTTTACTTTTCCATTTGTTCGTATGAAGGGAAATTTTCATGGATTTCAAAAATATTGTGAAAATATTAATAAAAGATGCAAAGAAATTATATATTGAAAAAAAAACTATATTGAAAATTTAATATCCGAATCTTGTGTTGGCGCCCCCTAAAGCGTGCACTCGTATTTTTCGCATGCGTCGCATTCAAGGTTGGACCGGCCCTGATTAATACTTAATTTCATATTTCAAGTGAATTATATTTGTCATATCCTGTTCATATGTGTATCATTCAATCTGCCATATATATACTGTATCATATTTTAATTTCTGGCACATCTCAGCTCCTTTTCGACAATAATAATGTAGACATTTTTCTTATTTATAATCATAAATTTATTATACATATTCTAATCTTGTCTAGGTTCATAAGTAAATTGAAATTTTTGGCAGATGACTGTTTTCATTTGTTTTCAATGCAAACAATGACATGTCGTTTTTTACAATTTTTTCCATTTATTTCTACAACATTTCACATACATCACAGTAGATTATAATCACATACAAGCACTCACTCCTTCTAAACGATTATTCGGATTTTGATAAATCTTTCTGAAGTTTGTTAAGTGAATTTTTTTAGGATTTTTTGAATTATAGAAATATAGTAATATTGTAGAAATAAATGGAAAAAATTACAAAAAACCGTTTATCATTGATTGACATTGAAAACATTTGAGACATTGTTTGGCATTGAAAACAAATGAAAATTGTTATCTGCCAAAAAATCACGAAAAATCACGTGAGGAAGAAGGGGCCTAGTGAAAAATTACGCGTATTTAGTTTTTATCTAAATTTTCAAAGAAAAATACATTAATGGTAAATTCGAAATATTCGATCCAAAAATCGCTGAAAAATCGATCACGTGATTAATGGACGCCCATTTAGGAGGAGTTTAAGATGCAATTTTGGTGCTCTCTATGATTTATTCAATAGAATAAATCGCATAAAATGCCCAAAATAAATAGGTAAAATGTTTCAAAAGCCAAATATTAATTAATGATAATAATTTTAATAATAAACTGGTAAAACAGGTGTAATAATAGGGGGAGAAAGCGCTAGAAAAAAAATGTCATGCAGACGCTGAGAATCTTAAGAGCGTCCCTACTAAAAATGTACATTAAATTATTACTAAGAATAAATGTAATTTAGATATTATATAATTACTAAAAACCAGTTAAAATATGATACGAGATTATAAAAGTGGGTAGAAAAATCTAAGTTATAATTTTTTTATTAAGGTATGTATATGGTGCATTTTGATGTGAAGAGTAATTTAAAAAAACAATAATTATTATTTTTAGGTAAATGGTAAATATTAGTACGGAATATTAAAAAATTGTAGGCGTGGGTACAGGACAACGTCTGGCGGGTCATCTAGTATATATATATATATAACCAACACCAATTTTTAAATTCACTCACCATTATGTGCAAGGCTGGTGTTGGGTGCTGCAAATTGCTTGGTATATTTATTGGTTTGCACATCAGCAATCCTTGCCTGAAAAATATAAATATAATTTTGAATAAATAAATAAATATATATGTATATATACATATATATATATATATATATATATATTCATATTCCAAGCTCTCCTACTATAACGAAGGACATTAAAAAGTATATGACGGTCGTGTCCTAATAAATTGAATTGAAATGAAAGGCCACGAGTCCGAGAGCGCGCCTAGTTCTATAATCGTGCAAATTATTACATACATCATAAATATAGTAATTATTTCAAAACATTCAATAAATATGAATGAGGCATTTGAAAAGCTTTAAATTAACTGAAATATTTGTAGGGCTCGTTCGTTAGGACAGCTCCTATGATTTGCTAACCTCAAATATCTGCCCAGAGGTGTTTTAGCCAAGAACTGCACCAAATTTAACCGCACTTTAAAAAATTCTGAATTTTCTAAAATTTTACGACCTTTTTTATGTATGGAGTCCAAAAATCCTTGAAAATCGATCACGTGATTAACGCACGCCCCCCGAGGATAATTATTACAGTAGGGTTTGTGTCCTTGCTGAGAATGATTTGAAACACTGCTTATTACGATTATTTTCTTGAAAAGACAAGAGTTTTTTTTGGTAAAACTTAAGTAAAAACTAAAAAAAAATGAACGAGAAAAAATAAAATCATTTTTTACATAACTCACTAAATATATTTGAAGTAATTTAGGGGTCAATTATCCGATAAAATAAAAATATTATGTTACGGGTCCATATTCGCATGAGTCGGTAGTAAAAGCTGTCAAAAAGCTAAGCATTTGTCGTGCGATCAGGCGTTTCACACATAAAACCAAAATCTAAGTAATTCGAGGTTTGTCGGTTCGATCCCCGACAAATCTGAAAAAATAACAACTCACCCAAAATTAGACCTAGATTTCCATTTTATTTAACATTGACCCCTTAGACTTTTATAAGTTATAGCGTTGTCACTGTCAACATTCATATCATCTATCTATTAAAACTTTTGCTTGCTTCGAGTCGCCCTTGAAATTGGAAAGTTCAATTCGTTTTCGCCATTGCATATTATTATATGTATTAAGTACATATTACGCGGGCGTCCCACTTGCATTGAAAACTTGACACGATTACTAACATCAAACAATAGAAACGGCGACAGATTGATAGAATAAAGATTGCGCGCGTTGGCAATTGCAAAATCCGATACAAGAGGTTTAGGAGAAATAAAATTAAAAAAAGGAATCCACTATCTATTTTCAATACCTCATATTGCCTACGATCTTCTTCTGATACTCAGGATCCTCGTGCGGCGGCCTGGCCATATCTCTGTGCGACAAAGTAGGGGGCGACGGTGGCGCCGGCCTGCCAGCGTCACATCTCTCAACTTCGGTGTAATAGAACTCTTCTTCGTGATCGGAGGAGCAGCAGCTCGAACTGGAATCATCGTCATCGATATTACCATCCTCGTCGGATAACTGGTCATCCGACAACCTATTTTCGTCGTCGATTATCCTGTCGGGAACGTCGCAGAGGGATGAAGTGTGGCGACGGCGACGCGAGTGGCGCCGCGAGCGGCGTCTGGAGGCGTTCGAACCGGAGCCTGAGATTCCTGAGTCTGGCGAACCGGAGGAAGATGAGGTTTTTGGCCTGGAAGAAGAAATAGATAATTGGTGATTGGTTGATATAAAATAGTAAGAAATAATTTTACTTAAGTTACTTAAGAACCTGAAATAGTATTATTCACTTAACCTCATTTTGAATTGTGGTCGCTGTCAAAAGTGTGTTAAACGTCATCGTGAATCACTTTTTAATCGCAGTGTGATTTTATTTAAAACCGATACACCACATCTTTATATGACTTTTGTTCACACTTTGTAAACAAAGGAAGATTCGAAGAACGGAATTTGTATAAGGGTGGCGTCACACTTGCAAACGACTGCAAATTATTTAACAAACAGAAAACATTTGAATTTGAGAATTTTAACAAATCATCAGAACAGAGACATGGGCTGTAGGTAAGGTGGACAAAAGCTACGGAAAGTGTTAGATGAGCAATTTTACAAGAAATACGTTAAATAAATAGTTATGCCAACTCCGCTAATGAATTTCTGACAAACTACCAAATCAAGGTTATTTACAGTGATCTCTGTAAAAATGAAATGCAATTTATATATTGCATCGGTTTAATAAAGGGAGAAAACATGTTTAAACTTTTTCCTACTAAAAGTTAAGGAAAAAAACGACACAGTGCAATGTGAACGCGTCCTAATATAAGAATTATGTTGAAAAGAGTCATGGCCGTGCCCACGTTTATGCGTGACGTCACAATAACTGTTAAATTTCGTCAATTTTATTCGATAAGTAAACAAACTACTATTGCAAATTGATGACTGTTGTATATATAATAAGTATAGGATAGCACATTAAAAAATTTGCATAGGAGAAATAAGCCAGAACTTAATGAAACGTTTACAACAACATAAAAACTATTCAAAAAATTCGAGGCAATTTAAAACTATGATTGCGGAGCATATTTATACTTTAAAACACAATGTGGACTTTTCTAACCCGACAGTACTACAATTCGAACAAAATTTATTCAAACGAAGAATTATAGAATGATCTTTTTAAACTATTTACAGCAATAAAACAATAAATAATCGGAATGAACTTAACACGCTGTGCGACACAAATCTCTTTTATTTAGATAGTATTCCAAATTTCTCACAAACAATAAAAACACGTGCAAAGGATTCGCAATTCGTTCCACAC